TTTTTTTTTTTGTAGTTTTTGGCCAGGGCTGGGTTTGAACCTGCCACCTCTGGCATATGAGGCTGGCGCCCTACTCCTTTGAGCCACAGGCACCACCTGTTCAATCTTTTTTTCTTCTCTTCTACACACTGGAAGAATAAGTGCTGCCTTAGGCCACACACAAAATGCACAGTAACAAAAGCTGATGAGCACAGGAAAAGGTCTATATATACATTTCACACTGTCTAGCTCCACAGATAAGCAAAACAGTCCTCAGGTAACCTGCTTGTGGCTGGCATGGCTGGGTTCTGGAAGAGTCTCCTCCTCCTGACTGCCTGACGGTAGCACACACACAGCAGAGAGAGAGAAAGTAAGCTCCCGGGTGTCTCTCCTCATAAAGTGACTAATCCCACCATTACCGACCTCCCTCCCATCCAACACACAAATTTCATGGTGACAGAGACATTTTGTCTGTGTCTTTGTCTAGTCTCTTAGGTCTGCTGAGGTATATTGCCACAGACCAGGTGGTCTAAACAAGAGACATTCATTTTCTGCCAGTTGTAGAGACTGGACAACCATGACCAACGTGCCTTTAGCTTTAGTTTGGGGTGAGGCCTCATACTGGTGGCTTGTAGACTCCCTCTCTGTGATGTCCTAACATGGCCTTTCCTCTGCTCATGCAGAGTGAGCATGTCCAAGCTCTCATCTGTTCCTCCGCAAATAAGGACACCAGTCCTTTCAGAAGAAGACCTCACCGGTAATGACCTCACGCCAGCCTCCTGACAGGACCTGTCTACAGATAGTCATATTGGGACTGAGGGCACAGTTGTGTCCACTACACCTCCTGGTGATGGACTTTGGGTTGTTTCTAGTCTTTTGCCATTACAAATGATACTGCATGAATGACCTTGTGCCATTGGCATTTTGTGCTTTTGCCAGTTTGTCTCTGGGATCAGTTCCTAGGTATGGTGCTTTTCAAATCAAAGAGTAGATGTGTATGTAATTTTTCTGGGTATTGCAAAATTCTTTTCCATAGAGCTAATGGCATTTTGTATCCCTGACTGCCATGTATGAGAATCTTCTTCCTTATAACCTTGCCAATGGAGTATATTGTAAAACTTCTTTATTTGTGTCAAGCTGATAGGTTGAGAAATGGTATCCTGGGGTAGTTTTGATTTGTGCTTCTTTTTGTAGGAGTGAGGTTGAAGGTCTTTGCCGTGAGTAGGACTGTATGTGTGTTTCCCTCTGTGAACTGTCTGCCTGTGCCTCAGATGAATCAGTCGTCTTGGTCACAGTAACAGACGACCTCTGCAAGGCAGTGGATGGCCACAGCCACAGGTGTATTTCTCGTTCTCATTCCGAGTCTGCTGGGACGTGGCAGTGACTCTGCTGTGCCCTACCTCAGCTCTTGTTTCTCCTGTTTGGAACATGCCAGGGCGATGCCAAGGGAAAGGGTGAGGGCTGGTGGGAACCCCTGGTCTCTTAAAGCCTGTGCTCTGATGTGGTATGTGGCAGGTCCACTTGTAGGCCTTCAGTCAGAGCAAGTCAGATGGCCAGACTCAGACTGGGGAGCAAGGAAGGCTGCTATCCCAGAGAGAATCCACAATAACATTTCAGAACACCCTCCCAGAGGACATTCTGCAGGTCAGGTGGCAGGAGGGCAAGGCTGGGAGCTGTAAAATCCCCTTTCCCAATTTCCTGCAGAAGAACCATGAGGGTTTTTTGTTGTTGCAGTCACAGAAGTTTTAATTTACCTCTGTTTGTGTGAACATTTAAATAATGTCCATCTAACGTGTAGCAAGCTGTTTGAGGGCAGGACTGTGCTTTTTGCTTAGTGCTATATCCCCCCAGTGCCTTCCACAGTCTCTGGCACATACTAAGAATGTATGAATAGTTTCGAGGGAATGAATAATTTATATAAGTGTCATTATTTTCTTACTGATTTTTTTCAAATATCATCTTAGGTTTTCATGGCTTGATATATGATAATAAAACTGAATCTATGAGGACAATTAACCTCCTTCAACGAATGAATATTTACCAAGAGGTTTTTCTCAGTATTTTATATAGAGCTCTGCCCATACAGGTATGTTGTGTTCTGTGACAGTAAATTGTTAACCTCAGATAAAAGTCGAGATTTGCCATTTTGAGCTGAGTTTGTTTCCTTAGCTTTGTTCTTCTGAGGTTCCTTTAGTTTGGTAAAAACAAATCAGCAGTACCTTAATTGTCTTCAGGTGTATTGTGAACTTTGCTTCCTGTTTATGGTTTTTTATAAGATTTGAGATTTTTTGTGCAGATGTGCTTCCTGGCTTCTATCACAATATGTGTGTGCAGTCAGAGAAGCTGACAAATATTTTCATTTGGAAATGTGTGATAAGTCCTGATTTATCTTTCACATTTAAAAGATATCTATAAAATGAGGAAACCATAATGAAAATTGGACGAAGTTAGAGGTAAAACTTAGGAGTAAGTGAAGCTAGAACTCTCCAGACTTGCTTCCTTCCCTCTCGGCGGTGGAGGAAAGGCTGCAAGTGCTTCCGCATGAGGAGGGGCCGGGGGCTGCCTGCCGGAGCCCCGCAGGCTTCCGAATGTTACCTTTCTACTGTCGCATTTGTTAGAGGACAGTGAAGAGGGTCGGCTTCTCTCACAAGCATGTTTGTTGTTCCCTTTACAGAAATACTTAGAGCCAGTCTATTTTTATATTTACACCCTATTTGGACTCCAGGCCGTCCATGTTGCAGCTCTTTATATAACTAGCTGGCTCCTCAGTGGCACGTGGCTGTCAGGACTCTTGGCGGCCTTGTGGTATGTCACAAACAGGTGAGTAGAAGTCAGTGCGCCTCTTCTTCCCAAAATGAGAGTAAAAATGAGGTTACTTCGTCTCTAGTTCAGGGGAGCTGCTTCTGCCCGTTTGTGTAGGAGCATTTTCTGTTGGTTTTTCTAGTAGTGTGTCAATTTCTCTTATCTAGTAAGGCAGAAAGTACTACTGGTATGTATTTCTAGCTGATGAACAGGGAACTGAACTGCAAGTCAAGAGTGTCATTCATAATCACCCCAGTTCTTCTACCTGATTGCTGTGTGATCAGTATTTCTTCAGCCATACCGTTCCCCTCTGAAAGAATGTTAATGATACTTTCACTGTCCATCTAAATAGGATTGTGTGCAGCTCTCAATTAGCAAAGCATAAAGCTGCACAAATGCAAGAATATTCTGACATTGCTTAATTAATGTCAATTATTAATTTATAATCACTGGAGCCTTATGAAATAGCATTAAAAAAATTCAAGATGTATTGCATTATTGCCTAATACAGTAGCAACACCAGTATTCAGTAGAAATCTTAAAACTTGAACCTGAGTTCTACTACAGGGGTATTTTTGTAAGCCTGAGTGAATGACTTTTTTTTTTCTTTTTTTGTGCTAATGACTTTTATTATAACACTGTTGGATGCTTAACTGTATGCCAAGTTCTTCACAAAATGCTTTATACATATTCTTCTAACACCCTATAGCATAGGTGTTGTTATCATCCCCATTGTAGAGATGAGTAAATTGATGCTTAAAGGTTGTTCTGTATGTGCATACACATGTGCAGGGGTCCTCAAACTTTTTAAAACAGGGGGCCAGTTCACTGTCCCTCAGACCATTGGAGGACTGGATGCCTGCACATGTGTGTGTTGGGGGGGTGTGCATTTTTGGGGTATCATCCATTGAATGGCTACTGTGTGCAGAGATGGTTCTTCATGCTGAGTGTACAAAGATGAAAAATCGTAATCATACTTGCCCTCTAGTCCATATTCTAGAGAGGCAGGAAGTGTTTAAAAATTATTGCCAAAGGGTCCAGGCGCAGTGGCTTACCCCTGTAATCCCAGTACTCTGGGAGGCCAAGGCAGGGGGATTGCTTGAGCTCAGGAATTCAAGACCAGCCTGAGTGATGCCCCATCTCCACTAAAAATAGAAAAACTAGCTGGGCATGGTGGCAAGCGCATGTAGTCCCAGCTACTCGGGAGGCAGGAGGATGGCTTGAGCCCAAGAGTTTGAGATTTCTGTGAGCTATGATGACATGGCTTTCTATGAGGGTGACAAAGTGAGACTCAGTCTCAAGAACAACAAAATAAATTATTGCCAAAGACAAACTAAGACTAAAGTATAAAACATTAAAGAAACACAGAGAAGGAGAAGGCATAACATTGCCTATTAAAACTGATCTCTTTAGGAACAAAGGTAAGAGGTTCTCTGGCATGATGTATTCACGGGCTAAGGAGTCATGCTGACCTGGGCTGAGTGTGGCCTGCACTGATCACTTACAGTTTCTCAACTGGCTCGAGTATGATGATGATGATGAGGAGAATGACTGAGAACCAGTGAACAGGATCTAAGTGTCCTTATCATTAATGTAATCCATCTTTCCTTTAGAACATCTTTGAGGAAATTATTGTAAAAATTGTCATTTTGACCATTAGTGTTTCCTTTTGTGCAGAATAGACACCACCAGAGTGGAGTTTACCATCCCACTGAGGGAGAACTGGGCACTGCCTTTCTTTGCCATTCAGATAGCAGCAATCACGTATTTCTTGAGACCGAACTTACAGCCTCTTTCTGAAGTAAGTTCTTACAAAAGTTTATATGTCTTAATTCCCCAGTTCTATATAACCTTCAAAAAATAGGATGTGCATAGTGTCCAGAGGCATGTGAATAGTTTTATTCTGTGACCAATTTTTTAAACTTGAGTTAAATTAAATTTTCTTTATCTGAGCTTTTTTTACTTACCAAAGAAAATGTTTTCACTTTTGATGTTAAAAATGTCCTCTACATAATCTACTCTTAAACAGTTGGAGAAAACCCACACAGAGTTTCTGAGGAACTGTCAGGATTTTTAAGCTGTTGCTCCTGAGATGTGATTTGGTGCGTTATTGCCTCTCTAATAATGTGGAATTCACAACCCATATGTGAATATTTATATGCAGAGTGTCACTTCATGATATTTGGAGCTTAAATCACAAATGCAGGGGTTTTCAGAGCAACAGTTTATGGTTTTTCTATTTGGTTTATAGAGATACTGGCTGCTCTTGATAAAACTTGTCTGCAAGGTTTCTTATTACTAGAGACATGTAAATTATACAAAGGTTTTCTTTTTACAGAGGCTGACACTTCTTGCCATTTTCATATCAACTTTTCTCTTTAGTCTGACATGGCAATTTAATCAATTTATGATGCTGATGCAGGCGTTAGTGCTGTTCACACTGGACTCCCTGGACATGCTGCCAGCAGTGAAGGTAAGCCTTGTTTTATTTTCTCATTTTATATTTCTATGGTTTAGTATTTTGTATCATAGAATGAGGTGAAAATATGCAGGTACTTCATGATAAAACTGAAGCTCCTTCTTAAGCTCAGTATGCCATGGTCGATTGAAACTGAGGAATTCATGCAGCCTAGTTTGACTGTCTTAACTTTTATTCTGCTTTAAAGTTAAAAAATGGATTTGTTTGGGGCATACATGCCTAGGTCAATTGTTGTTTTTAGAGATAACTTAAAATTTTAAATATAAGATAGCTCTTTTTAAATTTCTTCCTATATATTGCCTTATGTTCAAAGAACTCAGTACTTTATAAATTTTTCATAGTAACATTTAATCAGTGTGGAACGTGAATTCCTACTGCCTGGCCAAAGGTCACATATGAAATAAACCCGTCATCTGTCTTTCAGTGTCTGCTGCTGTCATTAAATCACATGTTTTTTTTCACATGCAGAAATCTATTTTATTGTGTACATTTTAAAAATTGCTCATAGTTACACTGTCAGTGAAGGCCATATGACAGATGTAATGAGGTCCCTCTTCCCTTCCCAGACAGGGTGGTGTCAGCAGAGACCTATAGGGAGTGTGAACTTTTCACCTGCACTCACTAGGAAGCATGCCCCACCACCTCAGCCACCAAATGTCCATGGGCACTGTAGACTTTCATCCTTATCTGGAAATAATGAGACAGCATTCTCAAGTCCTCACTAGCATAGGGTTGGCATGGTGCTATGGTTTGAATGTTTATGGCTCCCCAGAATTCATATGTTGAAATCCCAGTGCCAAGGTGATTGTATTAGGAGGTAGGGCCTTTTAGGAGGTGATTATAAAATAGGCACGGGGGGTGGAGGGCTTTTTCACCCTGTGAGGACACAGTGAGAAGGTGCCATTGGGGAACCAGCTAACCAGCCCTCACCAGACACCGAGTCTGCCACTTCTTTACCTTGGAACTACTCAGCCTCCGAACTGTGAGAAATAAATTTTTTGTTTATAAGCTACCTGGGTTATAGTATTTTAGTGTAGCAGTCTGAACAGACAAAGACACATGGTATGAGAGGAGGCCTGCTGGCACAGATTGAAGTAAGGTCCTATGATATGATAGGGTACAGCCAAAACTCACTTCCTAAACTGAGAATCAGGAAGGTCTCTCCTGAGTGGAAGGAGACACTCAACAGGTCCCAGCACTGAGACCCACAACTGGGGATCACTAACAAGGAATTTACAGCTGCCAGCCATCAAAAAAAGCTTCTTCGAGCAATTACACTGGAAGCAAATTAAAATACAAGCTCTAAGCAAGGAAGAGAGGAAATAAAAAACCAAATGGAAATTTTAGAATTGAAAAATTTCAGAAACCAAAATTAAAAACTCAGGGTATGGGCTCAACAGCAGAATAAAATGGTCAGAGGAAATAATCAGTGAACTTAAAAATAGAAAAATTTAGAAATTGCCTCATCTGAACAACAGAACGGTTAGAATGGAAAAAGGAGAATGAACAGAGGCTCAGGACCTGTAGGACTATAACAAAAAGCCTAAAGTTCATGTAATCAGAATCCTAGGAGGACAACAGAAAGAGTATGAGTATGAAAGAAAAGTATTCAAGGAGTGCTTTTGGAAGAAATGACTGAAATTTGCTCAAATTTGGCAAAAGATAGAAACCTACAGAATTAAGAAGCTGAGCTGACATCAAACAGGATAAACCAAATAGCACCTCACCAGGACACATATAATCAAACTTCTGGAGACTAACATTAAAGAAAAAAATCTCGAAAGCATTCAGAGAAAAAGGATACTTCACCTATAAGAGAAAACCAGTTTACATATCAGTAAATTTCTCATCAAAACCACAGAGGCTAGAAGGAAATAGCACAATATTTTTCAGATGCAGGGGTGGGGGGGTGAAGGGGACAAAGAAAGAACTGTAAACCCAGAATCCTATACCCTGTGAAAATATCCTTCAGGAATGAAAGAGAAATTGTTTCTAAACCTTTTGGGTAAGATCAAGCGTAGGAATGAAAAAGAAATCAAAACATTCTCCATGAAGGAAAACTAGTAGGATTTGTTGCCAACTGACCTACCTAAATGAATGGCTAAAGGGCTTGGTGCCTGCAGCTCAGCAGCTAGGGCTGTAGCCACATACACTTGAGCTGGCGGGTTCAAATCCAGCCCAGGCCTGCCAAACAACAATGACAACTACAGCCAAAAAATAGCCGGGTGTTATGGTGGGCGCCTGTAGTCCCAGCTACTTGGGAGGCTGAAGCAGGAGTATCACCTAAGCCCTGCTGTGAGCTGTGATACCATGGCATTCTACCAAGGGCGAAAGTTTGAAACTCTGTCTCAAAAAAAAATAAAGAATGGCTAAAGGAAGTTCTTGAAACAGGAAGGAAGTAATATCAGAAGGAACTTAATATCAGGAAGAAAGAAAAGGCCTCAAAAGGGTAAAAATATGAATAAATAAAATAGACTTTTCTTCTCCTCTTGAGTTTCTAAGTTATGTTCCATGGCTGAAGCAAAAACCAAAATATTGTGTTATTCACTATAATATTGCAATTCTCTATAGAATAAATATTTTAAGACATTGTATTATAAATGGTAAAGGTAAAGAGACGTAAATGGAGATGAGGTTACTATGCTTCACCCAAACTGCTAAAATGTCCACAACACTGTACTGTAATAAATTCTGAATGAATACATCACATAATACTAAGAACATCCACAGAAGTCTATATAAAGATATACACTAAAAAACACTACAGATAAATTAAAATGGAATTCCAAAAATGTCCAGGTAGCCCACAGGAAGACAGGAAAAAGAAAACAAATGAGAAACAGCAAACAAAAACCAAGACTAAAACAGCAGGTTTAAGACCTACTATAGCAATAATTACATTGAAGGCAAATGATCTAAATACAATAATTAAGAGATAGAGATGGCAAAGTCAATTTAGAAAGCATGACCTAACTACTGTCTACAGGAAATTTATCTCAAACACAACAGTGTAGGTAGATTGAAAATAAAAGGATGAAAAAGGTTCATCATGCAGCAGTCAGAGAAAGGCACTGCCGTACTGATACCAGATGGAGCAGAGTTCATCATGCAACAGTCAGAGAAAGGCACTG